TTTACACTCCACACTCCACACTCTACACGTTCCACTCCACACTCTACACGTTACACTCCACACTCCACAATTTACACTTTAGACTCCTCACTCCACACTTTACACTTTGCACTTTATACTCCTCACTCCACACTTCACACTCCACACTCCAAACTCCACACTTTACACTCTACACTGTTTACTCTACACTCTACACTTTACACTCCTCACTCCACACTCCGCACTCTACACTTTACACTTTAGACTCTGCACTTTACACTTTACACTCCACATTCCACACTCTACACTTTACACACTCCACACGCCTCACTCCACACTTTACACTCCACACTCCTCACTGTACACTCCACACTCCACACTCTACACTTTCCACTCCACACTCCACACTCAACACTCTGCACTTTGCACTCCACACTCCCCACTTTACACTCCTCACTCCACACTTTACACTCCACACTTTATACTTTGCACTTTACACTCCTCACTCCACACTTTACACTGAACACTCAATACTTTGAACTCCCCACTCCACACTCTACACTTTCCATTGCACACTCCACACTCTACACTTTACACTCCACACTCTACACTCTACACTTTACACTTTTCACTCCTCACTCCACACTTTACATTTTACACTCCTCACTCCACGCTTTACACTCCACACTCCACACTTCCCACTTTACACTCCACACTCTACACTTTACACTCTACACTTTACACTCCACACTTTACACTCTACACTCCACACTTTACACTGTACACTCCTCACTCCACACTTTACACTCCACACTCCACACTACAGTCCACACTCACTACACTCCACACTCCACACTGTACACTTTACACTCCACACACTACACTTTACACTCTACACTTTACTCTCTACACTCCACACTCCACACTCTACACTTTACACACTCTACACTCCCCACTCCACACTTTACACTCCAGACTCCTCACTTTACACTCCACACTCCACACTCTACACTTTCCACTCCACACTCCACACTCTACACTTTCCACTCCACAATGCAGACTGGTAACAGGGGAAATATATATGTACAAGACTGTTCAAATCAACTATTGCAGAAAAGTCTTCTGCGTGACTGCATATCCATGTGTTTCGACATCTGTACCATTAACATACGTGTGAGCATTCGGGTTCGTGGGCTGCATCTTGTTATACGTACAAATAGATCCATAACTACTCCAGGGTTTGGGGCGCATTTAACATTAGAAAGGAATTATGGTCAGTGCCAGAATTATAGAACGGAAGTTAAAGAGTACGAAGGTACGCTTATTTACCGTACCCTGTTGTTCCATAATTCTGTTTTCCTCGGAAGGTATGAAAAAAAAAACGTACCTTAACTTACCCCTATTTTTTTTCGTCGTTCTATAATAATTCTGGTTTGCTCTATAATTGCGTGTTCCCCAATTTTTCTCACATTTACCAATTTCGTTCTATAATTAATTTTCCGTTCTATAATTAATTCTGCGGAAACCGTTCTATAATTTGTTTTCCGTTCTATAATGGATTTTGCGGAAACCGTTCTATAATTCTGGTTTCCGTGTCACTGTTGTCCGGGGTATATGTACTGTACATGTACAAATATGCAGTAAATATCATGGAGCTGCCAGAAATTCTAGAACGGAAAGAATTAAGAACGGAAAAAATAATTATAGAACGGAAAAAAATATAGAACGGAAAAATAATTATAGAACGGAAAAATAATTATAGAACGGAAAAAATAATTATAGAACAGGATCCGAATCCGCGCGGAATCGGGATCCGGAGGAGTCCGAAGGTACGGTATTTTGCCGTACTTTTGTACTCCTGATTCCGTTCTATAATTCTGGCACCGACTGTATACTGGGGATCATCATCTGAGTCATGCTAAGCAATGCAACGCACTGCTATGTAAAGTGTACGCGATAAATAGGGACTCAACATATAGGATCTGCCCACGGTACCTGCATCTAATCCATGAATAAACAGGTCAGCAACAAGTCACATCATATATGGGGATTATATAATGGGGTGCAAGGAGATACTACGTGGGAATTTGTGAAATAGTGCGTGTGTGCACAAAAATGTAAGCAAATATGTTGATCGCATATCATCCAGGCAATTTGATAGACTGATTCAGAACCTATTTATCACCCAATTTTGTCGGAAAATCTACCACCAAACAAGCCATTCAGGACTCCCTCAGTCATTCAGGAGCCCGTTTTTTGTAAATGGAAAGGTTGCACCAAGCCCGTGGTTTTGAAAATGACATGAAAGAACCCGTTCAAATAAAAAACTCTGACATGTATGTACATGTTAAATACATACATCACACCACATCACATCACATCAAATCACACCACATGACATCACATCACATTACATACGTACATACATCAAAAGATTTGACGCACTTCTAATCAATTCTACATATATTAGATACTACATACACCTTTAAACCACTTGAGTGGCAAATGGCGTTGCAGCCTCATAATGGCAGGATATGGTAGGACTATTGGTGATAAGCCAACCTCCAGCAACACAGTCGGCCAAAATAATCTTTCAAATCTTTCAAAGCACCACCCAGGCTCAGTGTTGTAGTTATGTTTGGCATCCACTGCTCTGACCTTCTGCTCTTTGCTCACCAAATCGCGAGGAAGTCCCTTGCTCTCGGCATCAAACAGCACGTTGGGCAACACGGCCCGGCCACCGGCTGAGGGCGCCGTCAGATTTCGGAGCTTCGCGGCAATCTCGGCAGACTTGGCGCGGTAGGCCGTGAGGTTCTGCGCGCCTCTGGTGCTCCGCAGGCGCCGCTCCTCGGGTTCTGGGAGCAAATGCTGGTACCACCGCTGATACACACGCCTTAGTTGCACTTGGGGAGCCATTCCACATCTTGCTGGAGTTGGATGACGGATGGAGATAGAACATGATGGAACAAGAGCTATTTAAAAAAAAGCTAAGCAAAGTACGCCCCACCCTTAAAAACGCACAGTCTCCAGCTGGTCTCCCTGGGCTTGGTCAAATAGCAATCTTCATCAAAGCCGTAGATCGTGGACCCTGCCGTGGCCAAATCCCTCAGAATGGCTGCAGCACATGAGCCGCCCTGGGAGATGGTAGCTGCACAGGTGGAGCTGGCGCTGGTTAGAAAGGCCGTGAGCCACAGAATGGAAGTGATGGCATGAGCCACGGGAGCCTGGAAGATGAGTTGGTTCATGAGGAAACCATGGATTTATGAGCAGCTATGGGGTTTCTTGCAACATGTCTTGTAAACTCTCATCGGCTATTTGAGATGTCTTAAGTACCTCTGTGATCCTCTGTGTACATTTAAACCTGAAATGATACATTAATGTGCAAAGGTACGTAAAAATATACCCCTCCAAACAAGAAACATGTATATATTTTGCCTTCGGCGCATTGACAAATGCGAGCCGCGGAATAATACGTGCATCGAACACGAATGAATAATATGACACATCGTTGGTTTCCTAGTCATGGCAACTGCTCCTGTCAACCTAGGATCAAAAACCCCAAGTACCACCCCGATTATCAAGAAGGGGGTACCAAGCTTAGTAGGAACATATCCCAAATCATAGCATTGTATAATACACTAGTAGTTAGGGCCTATTACTCCGGGTAGGTCCAGTAATTAAATGTAGTTATGTAAGTCAAATAGGTTCAAAATGAGATCACCCGCATTCAGTTCGTAGGAGCCGTACAGCCCAAAGGCTCATCATCAGGACAAATCTCCGCGCGGTAGATGTTCACCACAGCCTTCCCCAAATAGGTTGCCGCTTGCACTGCATCGATCACACAAGTGGTCTTCACGATGGCGTTTTCCTCGGAAAAATGATGGCTTATGTCGCTGATGTCAGGTGAATTCAACACTTTTCTCGAGAGTGGGAGCCAATGATGGGACGTCATTTCACAATTTGAAGGAAGGGCCACTTCAAGCTTCCACAGTCTCACAAACTTACTCGGGATATTTTTCCAAGCATAGGATTTAGAGGCTTGAAATCTGTCTAGCCTTGAGCTGAGCATGCGTTGAGCTTTGGGATTGGCAGCAATTGGGGTCGCAAAAAGTTTGGGAATCAATGAAGAACATCAAAGAACATTTATATCTCTTTTCAGCACCCAGCTGTACCATGTCCCAGTGTCAGTGGGGTAGTCTTCATACGGCTCATCCGGCTCATCGAACAAGTTCACGTCGAAGAGGTGCCGTTGCTCCTGTTGCTCCCGGCGGAACTCGGAGTGCAAGGGCAACATGAGATCATGATCTGTTGGACCATCCGCGGACGGTGAACCAGCCCCTGCGGTAATGGCCAGCCAAAGAACCATGCACAAAAGCCTTGGGGTGGCGAAGAAATCTCAGTTTTAGATTGGGATTGTCCATTAATTAAAAACCATCCAGCTATTGGTGATACCCCATTTGTGGAACCGCCAATATATCCCCACCAAGTTTTTTTACTATCTAACGATTAGAAATCATGCTAATAAAGTTTGTCCTGACTTGCCTTTTTACGGACATGTCATGAATTTAACCTGCCACAGAAACGCAGATTTGGCAAACCTTAACATTGGAAGACCTTGTCCCCCCTCCACTGCGCACACACAACTGAAAAGAATGCAAACACTACAAACCCAAAAAATCACACACTTTGTATACATCGGCATGCTTGTCTGTTGATTAAAAAAATGTTTCAACACAAGTTGTTTCAACACCATTTCCGTTGGGGTAGATGGCAACATGTGGCAACAAGTGTCTTTTCATGTCCTGATTCTGGAGGTAAGTTACAATATTAGTATAGCCTGTATAGCAACCCCGACAAGATAGAAAAGTAACATCCAATTAAAATAGTGGTAAATTACTGATCTATGTTTTGTTTTTTTTGGGGTACTACCAATGAATTGTAATAATTGCAACTGAGTCTAAATCGTTTCCCTTCATATTATATAAGCGTGCCAGTTCCCAGGGAGAAATCATCCAGTTGCCAATCAAGACACCAGAATTTAAATAGAAAACGGGGAGATTTCAATTTTTTCGGGGTCGCATTGTATCATATTTCATGAATAACAAATCATCACTTGTTGGCACTAGCCCCGAACAATTCAGATGGCCAGCCACTGTTTTCCAATGTTTCTTCAACCGGGGTTGACATTGACTATCAAACGGTTTGCTCAATTCGTAGCCCCTTGGCCCCTATAAACAAAGGGGAGTAAGGCTAGCCATAGCTCCGTTGATGATTTGCAAACTTCCAGGATCATCCTGCATTGCCAGACTCCAAGAAACAGCAGGTTGCTCCCCAGAAGTCCAAGCACCAAGGGCCCGGATGCCCGTCGCCAGCCTCCTGCACTGCGCTCCTCGTTTTGAGCATCGGCAATCAGCTGTTGGTCTTCCACCGCCATGGCAGGTGCTGCAACAGTTCGAGGGCTGGGATGGGGTTGCCCAAATGGCTTCGGAATTTCACTTGATCTGACATCATTGGACCATATCTGACCAATGGAAACTCAAGTTGCAATATGGTTCACCAACAGTTTGAAGAGTGTGTTTTTGAATTGTACCTCAAAAACGGGGGGTGCTCCAATTATCGAAGGAAGTTTAGAAGTCAAACTTCCGACAATATGGACCGATGGAAAAGCAGAGGTGGGAAGAGTCAGAGAAAGACAAAGAGTCAGAAGAAAGAAGATGCAGGTGCGCGAAAAGGTAGGAAAGCCGCGAAACACTGCGTTTTTCGATGATTTGTGGGCTTGCTAAAGCGGCGGGTGCGGAGCCATGTGGCCAGATGAGAGATAAAAAGTTGCACGCCGTTGTGGCGCGAAGAACGTTTCGAAGTCAAAAGTTGAAAAAACCGAGGGGTTCGGAGCACCTTTTGAAGTTGAGATGTCGAAAAAGTGTACGCCGTTGTGGCGCGAAGCACATGTCGAAGTCAAAAGTGGAAGAAACTGAGGGGTTCGGAGCACTTTTGGACGTTTGGATGTCGTTTTGCCTGGTAGGCACAAGGGATTCTGCACCTTGCCAAAAGAGAACAAAACGTTTTCAACTACAACCGCGGCTACACTACACTAATTACATTACACTACACTACACTAACTACAACTACAACCCCAACCACTTTACATTACACTACGCTACACTACGCTACACTACAGTAACAACACTACACTACACTGCACTCCAGTTCACTACACTACACGACGCTACAACCACAAATACAACTACAACCGCAACTACAAGCACAACTACAACTACATTGCGCTACACTAGCCAATTTACAGTATATACGTTAGAATAATTGCATTACACTACATTACACTACACTACACATTACTATACTACAACTACAACTATAACTACAACTACACTACACTACACTAATTACATTACACTACACTACACTACACTACACTACACTCCACAACACTCAATTACACTACACTGCACTGCACTGCACTTCACGACACTACACTACACTACTCTAAACTAGCTACAACTACAACTTCAACTACAACTACACTAGATTACACTACACTACACTAATTGCATTACACTACACTACACCACACCACACTACACTAAACACAACTACAGCTACAACTACAACTACGCTACTTTACACTACACTACGCTAGGCTACACTACACTACCCTGCAATACATTACATTACACTACACTCATTACACCACCAGACGCAACTGCAACTGCACTACACTAATTAGACTACACCACAACTACAAGTCCACTACACTGCAACTACAACTACAGCTGCACTACACCACACTACATCCAGCAGTTGTGACTGAGGTGACCGACCAGGTAACCACTGCACAACTCCAACCACCTTCCAGTCCATCAGTGGATTCGCTCATCCGTGATTCACAAAAACAAAGCTCTCCTTTAGGTTTCCTATTTTGAAACTTCCGCCACCGCCTTGTGCGGTGCTACTGGTATATAATCTAAAGATGGTACCCCACACGCAAACCAGACCCGTGAGAGGTAGATTTTCAGCAACCCCAGGATACCAACTGCGGCCCTGAGAGATGAACCTAGTCTTAGGAGCTAGGGAGGCCACATCGCAAGAACCCATCATTTTGGGTGGGGAGGATGCAAAGGTTGGTGGCAAAGTGTGTATTGACACAGGGCGCATTTTTGCAAGCACGTGCAAATCATGAAGGAATATCACCGCTAAGCTTCATTCAAAGGCTCATGCAGTATCAAACTTTTATCATCACAGGCATACTTACAATGACATCAGGTATACAAGCAACAATGAGGCAATGAATCATGATATTGAAATAAACTCATTGTGTACACCATTCATGCGACAAACAACTCATGTATAACTAAATAACCTATGCATATACATATATAAGAATTAGATAGAATTAGTCTTTAAACTTACTCATTTTTTGATGCATGTACGAAACTATCATACCATGTTAAACAAATGTTCACACACATTGTAAAAACTTACGGCCCAAAGCGTCCCTCACTTCAGAAATGGCAGTCTTGCGCTCCACATTGTCAAGTGACGCGCAGTACTTCACCCAAGTCATTTGAATATGGATATGTCGTATGAAGTCATATGTCATAGAAATGCCTTCTTGTCTCGATAACCTTGACACTTGAGGGGTTAGAGGATTAGCAAAAATAATAAACATCTCACTCCACCAGTTCTTAAGGGCATCTATATAGCATAAGGGGAGGGGGGATTGGGAAAGAAAGAATCGACCCCCCTCTTTAAATGCCTTGAGAACTTTAGGGATGAGCGGCTTGACAAAAACAGTTGTTGAGGTTTGTTTATAAATCTTAGAACCTTCAATCTGAGTAACCAGCACGCTCAACCAAGTAGATTCTAGAACATGGATTTCCTAAACTGGTAATTTATGATTAATCAGTCATCCCTCCAATTCATACTGAATATCCCCATGTATCAGTATCCCTATGTTAAAAACTGGGGCTGTGCAAAAACTAGGCCCCACTACATTGCGTCGCCTTCTGTTTTTAGCGGAGATGTCAAGGTGGAATGTGCGGCATTCCTTGACTTTGACCAGACATCGCAGATTTCTGCAGTGACCCTGGCTGAAAACCCGCAGGACTCCAGCAACATATTTCTTCGACGTCACGTCAACACTTTCTGAGTAACCCTGTGGCAGATCAACCTGGCAAATTTCACCATGGATAGTGTCAACCTCGCATTGGCAAACTAGGGTTTACAAACTAATTAGGGGGATACCCCCCAAAGAGTATCTGCTACTCAGCTACTCCCCCAAATCAAACAGCCCGTGGCTCAGGGGTTTATTCCAGGGTTGGCACATGTTGGCACTTTAGACATAGATGATTTCTTGGATGAAAAATAAATGACAAAACATGAGCAGTGCATGAAACGACTTAAAAACATCACAGCAGCAGCAGCTGCTGTTTGAAGAACTATGTTGGGATTCCTGGTCGCTCTGTCAGGATATGGGTGGGATTCTGTCGTGCTCGATCCGACCGCGGCCCAGAGACATGGGCATGGGTCAAAATTAAGGCACCCACGAAGTTGGGAATATTTTTGGTGGTTCTATCTGGCATATTTTCTAAGAATGCATTTGGTCTATCTTACAACATCTTACAACGTATTTAACGATCTATCATTTATTCTGGCACTTTATCCAGAATATATTCCGCCATTCTATCTGACATCTGTCTGCCATTTTATCTGTCACTTGATCTGGCATGCTGGCAGAGTGTTCTGGTCCGGCGGGCCCACGAGAGCCAGAGAGCTAGCAGTAATGTTCGTGTCCGGTAAGCCCCAGAGAGCCTTCGAGCTCGCCACCGTCGACAGCGCCAGGAATTTTGC